CGCTGGCCAAAGGCCTGGGCACAGAGCACACACTCATCCATGCCAACGCCCCTCACCGGGATGAAGGGGCACACGTCCAGGGCTCCCATCCGAGGGTGCTCCCCTGCAGAGAGATGGGGGCCGAGGACCAGGAGGCCCAGCTGTGGGCGAGGACAAGGGCTCGTGGGTTCCCCAAAACCTATCCCTGAGGCCCCATCTGCCCCACCATCCACACACTGACCCATTCACACCAACCACAGGGCCCCTGGGAGAGGCAGGCCCCCAGTATCTGGGCATCTGTGTTGTGTAAAAACTTCAGAGGGCCTGACTTGCACACTTTACTCCTCAAACCTTTGGAATGTTAGCACAGGGCAGAATAACTTTGGACTGGGCCTAAAGCAACACTGTGTCCCAAAGAACTATTTGCAAAGATAACAGAAAAGCAGATATTACGACTACAGGACTGAGAATTAAAGGCATTCTTTAGACTCTGCACGACAGCACTGTCTTCCTTTTATTGATGGAACTGTCCCCGCCCCCTTCTCGTCAGTGCCCATTGCCTTTGTCTCCTCATCCGAACACTATTTGGGCTTCTGCCTGAATCAGTGTTTCCTGAACAGCTATTTTTGATCTTGAATAAATGCTTGTTGCCTCTCACTTTGCCCTTTTATTTTTAGGTGAACAGTGTCAACCCCTCCCTCTCCTAAAAACCACAAAGAAAACACGGAAGAGCTTCGAAGCTGTGCTCTCCGAGAGTCCTGGCCAGGCTGGAGGGCCCTCCTGGTCCACGCCGAGTGTCCTGCTGCCAGCCAGCAGCCCCCCAAAGATGGCAACCCCCTCCCCTCCCCAGCGCTTCTCCCCTTCCCCAGTCAACTCCTCAATCGGAGATGAGCCCCCATTTCTCAACAGTTGAGATCACTTGTGAATTCCCTGCCTCTGGACCTGGCTGGTCTCCCTGCTGTGAGTGGCCAGAGACCTTTGACCCTGCCTGCCACCTGACGTGTTTGGCTTTGTAGGCTGTTGACAGGTCAGTTTCCAGCAGGGCCCTGTCTTCACCTTGCCCCCCACCCCCACCCCCAGGGCCTGCTCAGCATGCTCCGGCCTCACTGCCGGTCACCCTGAAATGTGGACAGGCGTCGCCATGCACCTCCTCCTGGCACAGCGGGTTCCATGGGCGGCAGACCCCCGGGGGCCATGGGGGTCCCCCATTCCATGCCCTGTGGGCGAGAACAGCCCCTCACCTTTGTGCTTGCTCATGTCAATGAGCCGGAAGGCAGCCCGGGCAGCGTTGAGGGCCCCCTCCACCACATCCTCGGGCCGCCCCACGAAGGTGTAGACGGTGCGGTTGGTGGAGGGGCCGGCGTCCACGTCCAGCAGCACGCAGCCGGGGGTCTGCGCCACAGCTTGGGAGATGGCGTCGATCACCTGGGGTGAGAGCCCGGCCCACACCTCGGTTTCCCCACTTGGAAGAGGGACAGGAGCTTCAGAGGTGGCTGCACCTCTCCTGTCCCCCACTACCACCCCCCCCCCCCCCCCGCAACCAAAGGTGCACCCGGCAGGCTGCACTGAGCATCTGGGAACTCCCCACAAGCAGGAGCCTGGCTGTAGTCATTGCTCCTGCAGGAGAAACGGAGGCAGGAAGCAGCGCCTGGGCAGAGGAGCTGCTGGGGCTCCAGGGAGGTGACCTACAGGCCAAGGTCACAGAAGGTCAGGGTTCCGGCCCCTCCACGAGGCCTCCAGTGGGAGCAGCTGCAGCGGGGGAGGGGCACGAAAGACCCAGAACCTTCTGAGGTGACAGAAATGCCCAGTGGCTTAGAAGCAGGGACTCGGGGCCCAGACTGCTCTGAGGCCCTCGGCAGCCTGCCCCCCCCTCTCTGTGCCTCAGTTTCCTCATAGGTGATGTGAGGATAACAACAGTGCTCACCTGATACGCTGCGGGGAGGGGGAGGCAGCGGAACCAGGGCAGAGACCCTCAAACAGCCTGTGGGTCGGGATTGGGGGCCCCATTTTCACAAGAGGCCAAGGGATTTGTTCAAACCTGGGTCAGGACCCCTGTCTGACCACCCCCTTCCTCACCCCCCTGCCCAGGTCGGTCACTTCTAGGTTTCCCACACTCACGGGGCATACATGTCGCTGTGGCTGAGAGGAGGTGTCCCCTTTGAGAGAAGATACTCCCAACCCCGCACCAAGCAGACCCCTTGCTCCTTGCGCTGCCCCCCGGCACCTCACCTCCTGGTTGTTCCCCTCTGAGAAGTTGGGGACACATTCCACCAGGCGAGACATGGTCTGGGCCTTGGTCCTCGATCGGGACGCTCTTCTCACAGACAGGAGGAGGGAAGGACGGACAGGCCTCTCCAGTGCCCGGCAGGGCCTTTATACTACCCCCCCCCCCCCCCCCCGGGCTGCTTATTAACCATCTGCTATGGCGAGGATTCGGGGCAGGCTGGTCCCTGTACAAACACCGAGCTAGCAGTCCGGGGAGGGGCAGAACCAGGATCCCAGTGAGGCTGAGATCCCAGTTGGAGGAGGAGGAGGAGGGATCGCTCTGGCAGGGTGGGCGCCCCTGAAGGAAGCTCCTGTGGCCGGGACCCTCAGTGGGGAGAAGTCCTCACCAGACCCCTCAGGTCAGCTGGGACTCCGCTCCCATCGGGGCCCGTGGCCATTTGGTGGCCATCGTGTGAACTCCTTCATGACCCTCCAGGTGACCCTCTGGGTCTCCGTTCATTCACGTAAACGACCAAGCTTCAGGGCACCCAAGGGCCAAGAAGGGCCCTGTGAGGCCTCAGCACTGGCCCGGCTCTGGGAAGAGGTCAGCTCAGCCCCGTCAGGCAGGAAAGTGGGGGAGAGTAAGTGTGTGCCGGTGTGTGGGTGCCGCGGTGGGCGGGCAGGCCGGGTGAGACCCCGGCTCTCCCCAGCCGTGGTCACTGCTCCCCAAGGCCAGGGGCTCCACAAAGGGGCGACGTGCCCCCAGGCAGCAGCATGAGACCCTACACTTAGAGTCAACACTGTCTCAGGTCAACACTGTCTTGACGTTTTAGATGATCTTCTTTGTTTAATACATTTTTGTTGATTTTAGAGAGGAAGGGAGAGGGAGAGAGAGAGAGAAACTTCAATGATGAGAGAGAAGCATTGATCAGCTGCCTCCTGCATGCCCCACACTGGGGATTCAAGCCCACAGCCTGGGCATGTGCCCTGATCGGGAATTGAACCATGACCTCCTGGTTCATAGGTCAATGCTCAACCACTGAGCCACGCCAGCCCGGCTAGATGATCTTTAATCAGGACGGGCATTTCATTCTGCAAAGGCCCACCGGTCACGTGGCCACTCTGACAACATGTGGACACCGCACAGGCACCCCCTTTGTCATTCTCCCAGGCACAGGTACCCCACACAGCTGTTAGGGTGGTCAGTGTCTGAGGCTACTTCACCCCTCGCAGTCACTGTGGGGCCAGGGCGAGGAGGTGCCCAGATCTTCAGATCCCCAGCTGTTCGATTCACCGGAACCCGGAAGAAGAGGGGCCCCACCACTCTGGGGCAGACTCTCAGAGGCTGGGGACCAGCTGGGTCCTCTCCAACCTTGGCTCCCCTGGACGAATGTGGGTGACCGTGGGTGACGGCCATACCACCTCCAGGGCCCACAGAGGGGCTGTGGCAGCCTTGGCGGCACCTGGCAGGTGCCACAGGCCCAGCTGGGGCTGTTCTCCAAACCCGCCCTGATGCAAAGCCTCAGCTGGGGAGAGCCTCCAGCCCAGGGGCGCCCAGAAGTGCCTGCCAGCACCTCTTTTGGCAGAGGCCCCAGTGCTGCATGTGTGCACCAGCAGAGACCCCCTGGAGGCAAGGGTCCCTCAGCCAGAGGTTGGTGTCCAGCAGCTGGGAGGGAAGCATGGGGGTCTGTGATAGAATGATTGTGACCCCAAATTCACACGTTGAAGCCCTAAGTCCTAAAGTGACTGTATTTGGGGAGAGAGGGGATCTTTCCAGAGGTAACTGGGTTAAAGTGAGGTCACTAATTGAACAAGACTGGTGTCCCCATAAGAGGAGGAGGTTAGGACACAGACACACAGAGGGGCAGCCATGTGAGGACACCAGTCACAACGGTGTGTCATGCCACGGACAGAGGGCTTGGGAGCAGCCAGCCCTGTGGCACCTGTGGACTGTGAGCAGTGATGTCTGTTGTTCAAGCCACCTGTTCTGTGGTGTTTGTTGCAGCCTGAACTGACCAACACCGGGGCCTAAGGTCCAGGATGTCCAGGAGACACCAGGCTGTGAGGACTGAGGGACAGGTTGCCCCACACTAGGGGTGGCCCAGAAACCCCTACACCTTCCTCCTGGTCCCCACCCCAGAGAAGTGACTGGAGACACTTGAAGCCAAACCCCAGGAAGGAGGCAACGCCAGGCCCTGGAGGTCCCCTACCCTCTCTAGACCTCAGGGAGACGGTCCTGAGGGCTCCAGCGGGAGCAGTGGTACGTTTCCTGTGGGGACAGTCCTGGCTGGGCCAGGGCTTGGCCACGGCTGGAACACAAGATGCTGGGACTGGACCTGAGGTGACGCTGGGTTTTGAGACATTAAATAATCTAGTAGGGCCCAAGTCAGTTTGGCTCAGTGGATCAAGCCTGCAACCTAGATACGTGCCCTTGACCAGAATCGAACCCGGGACCCTTTAGTCTGCAGGCTGATGCTCTATCCACTGAGCCACACCGGCTAGGGCAAAATTCCTAACTTTTGAACAAGGGGCCTGCGTTTTCATTTTGCACAGGGCCCAGCAGAGCCTGCTGCCATCCTGCCAGCCCCTGAATCCTTGCCTCAGGCTCTGCTTTTGGAAAAACCCAAACTGTGACAGGACCCTCTGGCCCTTTCAAGGGGAAGATCCTTGAGGTTGGGGCCTGGGGGCCCTCCCCGAGCCTCAGCCCTTCCCCCTCGGGGCTCTGTGCAGGGTGCCATTCCACAAACACCGGGGCACCTCCTGTGTGCAGCCCCAGCGATGACCAAGGCGCTCTCAAGCCCTCAAAGAGCCGAAGGTAAACAAGTAAACAGATGATTTTAATAAAGTGTGACAAGTGCCCGCAGGTGTGGGCGCTGGCGGGCCTGTGGGCGCTGGGTGCGCCCCGCTGGTCCATGAAGGTGCCTGCTCTTGCGCAGCGTGCCCGCCTGTGGCCCTGGGCTCTCCCTCGGCGGACATGGCCCTTCCCCCGCTGGAGGGGACTCACAGGAGGCACGGCGGCCCCCGGGTTTGGAACAAACACGTTTATTGCAGGAAAGGCGCGGCGGGTGCTGGGGCCCGGGCTCACCAGGCGAAGAGCGGCTTGCTGTCCTCCTTGGAGAGCTCGCACAGGCAGTTGAGCAGCAGGAGCGAGTCGCCCAGGAACTTGGGGGGCACGATGTCGATGACCAGCTTGCGCAGGGCGGCCGGGCTGCTGTGCAGCGGGTTGGCGCGCAGGTCGGGCCGCTGCTTCAGGATGCCGTAGGTGTTGATGAGGAACTCACTGAACACGGGGTGCACCTCGCGGTTGTAGCCCAGCTTCTCCAGGCGCGCCATCAGCGTCAGGTAGCGGTGTGTCAGCTCCCGCAGCTTCTTCTCATCCACAGAGCCGTCCAGGGACTTGATGGACGTCTGGGGACGCAGGGCATGGGGAAGGTGGGGCTTGGCCACAGAACCCGCCACAGGAGGCCAGGGTGGGGACAGTGACCAGATTTCCGTGAAGGAAGCTTCACAGATGGGCAAACGGGCCCAGAGCCAAGCTCCCCACCACAGTGAGCTTCCCACTCTCCCCTCCAGCAGACAGTGTCAGGGCCCCATCCCAGGTAAGGCCAACACGTTCTGTGGCCACGGGAGCCACTCCTGAGACTGTCCCAGGCCACAAGGCAGAGGTGCTCATGGAAAGGGCTCAGCACACCCCGGACACTCCCCAGCCTCACCCAGGCCTCCACAGGGTACCACAGGTGACAGGCAGGGAGCGGACCTGGGGCAAGGAGGAGACCCCCGCGGGGCGAGGAGGCACACCTGCTTGATCTTCTCAGGGATGTTGGACACGGTAAAGCCATAGAGCCGGGTCACCCCGGGGAAGACGTAGGCCAGGATGCGCCTGTCCAGCTGGAAGGCGATCTCCCCGACGATGCGCCCGTCCTTCTCCGAGCTGCTGAAGCTGTGGATCTCTGCGGGGGGCAGGGGAGGATGGTGAGACAGGCTGGGGTCCCCCACACATAGGGTCAAGGGCCACCCGCCTTCCTCCTGCCTGTGCTCCAGTATCCATTTGAGAAAAAGGACCGATTTGAATGTGGCCACTGCGGGTTCCAGGTGAAGCACTGACAGGGGCTCCCCCAGGTCCCCGGTCTCAATAGTGATGTATAGGCGCCTTCCCCCAGACCCCGTGGGAGAGCAAAAGAAAACTGAATTTTCTGTTGCCAAAAAGGAAAAGGATCCTTCCTCTCCTCCCTTATCTTAACGTGTCCCCTAGGAAATCTGGGATGCTAAGTCCTTGCTCCATCCCTTTGGGATGTTTTATGGCCCAGGATTGTTTATCTTGTCCCCCTGTTACCAGGGAGTCTGCCCTCCACCTGGGTCAAGCCCCATCCCTATGACCAGGTGAATACAGGATGCCCAGGCCTGTCCCATCACCCAAGGATGGGGTACTGAGTAACATGAGAACATGTATGTAACACACATAACAAGTCTAGTCTGCCTGGCTGGTGAAAGGGGAGATTCTGTCCGTCTTGGCAACTCTGTGCCTTGCAGGCTGGCTTACTGTTCATTTGATGGCAAGACTCCTTTTCTACGTTTGTGCAGAGGATTGCTGGATGGACAGGAGATTCTATTTTTAGTAATTTCCCAGATGTTATCGGGCACATGGACCACCTTTCCCCTCCAAGTCTCCCATTTCATATCCCCCACAGACAGCAAAAATTCTGAACAAAAACTTAGCAAATTGAACCCAATGATACGGAAAACTATAATACATCATGACAGAGCGGAATTTATCTCAGCAATGCAAGGGTGGTTTTAAAATTCAAAAACCAATCAACATAATTTACTATATCAACAGATGTCAAATGAAAATCAAATGCTCAAGATGCAGAAAAAGCATTCAACAAAGTCCAACACCCATTCATGAAAACTCTAAGCAAACTAAAAATTAAAGGGCAGTTCATCAACCAGATGAAGGCATATACAAAAACTTTAGCGAACATCATACTTAATGGTGACAGACTGAATGCTTTCCCCTAAAGCAATAAAAGAAATGACTGCCCACTGTTACCATATCTAGTCAACGTTATTCTAGAGGTTCTAGCCAATGCAATAAGACAAGAAAAAAAATTAAAGTCACACAGATTAGAAATGAAAAAAAATAACCTTGACATCTATCCCAAGGAATCTTTTTTTAAAAGCTGCTAGAACAAATAATTGAGTTCAGTAAGGTTGCAGAACACAAAGATGCATTTTCAGGATTCTCAAAAAAAAAAAGAAACAGAACCAAGATGGTGTGTGTGTGTACATACATATGTGTTTATTATAAAGGCTCACATGGTTATGGAGACTGACAAGTCCCAAGATATGCAGGTGAGTCATTAAGATGGAGCCCAGGATGGCTGATGATATAGCTCCAGTCTGAATTCAAAGGTCTGAGAACCAACAGAATCAATGATGTGCTCCAGTCCAGAGGCAGCAGGCATGAGACCCAACATGTTTCCGTTGGAATCTAAAGGCAAGAAGAATTCTCTCTTCTTCAAGAGGGGGGCAGCATTTTTGTCCTATTCAGACCTTCAACTGATTGGATAAGGCCCACCCACATCAAGGAGAGCTATCTGTTTTACTTAGTCTAATGATTTCAATATTAGACTCATCCAGAAATACCCAGAATACCCAGGATAATGCTCGACGAAATAATCTTGGCACCTGCATAAATGGAAAGATATAAAATGTTCATGGATCTGAACACTCAACACTGTTAAGGTCATTTCACTGGAAACTGATCTCTTTCATCTATAGATCCAAGACAATCCCAGCAAGCTTTCTTGTAGAAATGAACAAGTTGATTCTAAAATTCCTATGGAAATGTAAAGGTCCTAGAATAGCCAGAAAAACTTTGCAAAAAGAGAACAAAGTGGAAGGACTTATACCATCTGGTTTATGGTCTTATAAAGCTACAGTAATTGAGACAGTGGGGCCTTAACTTACAAGTGTCCCGACTAACGAGTTTTTTTGAGATATGAGCCATCTCTCGGCCGATTTTTTGTTTTGAGTTGCAAGCTCAAAAAAATTCGGGTTACGAGCCAGCTTCAGATACCCCACCGCTATTTGGCACAGCGAACGTCACAGTGATTTGACATATGAGTAATTTGAGTTATGAGCTCCATCACGGAACGAATTAAACTCGTAAGTCAAGGCCCCACTGTATTAGAATCAACATAAACATGGGCAAATAGAACAGGCTGGAGAATCAAGAAATAGACTCAGACATATCTGGATAACTGATTTTTGACAAAAGTGTCAAGTCAATTCAATGGGGAAAAGATAATTTGTTTTTCATCCAAAAATTTGTTTCCTAGAGAGAGGGGAAGAGAGGGGAAGAGAGAGAGAGAAAGAGAGAGAGAGAGAGAGAGAGAGAGAGAGAGAGAGAGAGAAACATCGATGTGAGAGAGAAACATCAATCCTTGGCCCCCGTATGCACCCCAATCAGGGATTGAATCAGCAGCCTGGGTATGTGCCCTGGCAGGGAATCGAGCCTGAGATCTTTTGGTACACAGGATGACACTCCAACCAATGGAGCCACACTGGCCAGGGCAAGGTAATCTTTCTAAATACTGTTGCTGGAAGAAGTGACTACCTAATGCAAACCTGATGATATATACAAAAATTAGCTCATAATTGAACCTAAATGTAAAACTATAAAACTCCTGGAAGAACACATTGGAGTGAATCTTTTTTATATTGAGCTTGGCAAAGATTTCTTAAATGGGACACAAAAAGCATGAAATATATGTTATTTAAAAAGTCAATAAACCAAACTTCACCAAATTAAATTGTATTGCTCTTCAAAAACAAAGTTTTGAAAATGGAACAGCCATAAACTGGGAGACCATGTTGGCAAAACATATACCCAGAAGAGAATTTGCATCCAGACTATATGATGAACTCTTACAGCACAATGATAAACAATCCAATTTTCTTTAAATGGACAAAAGATTTGAACAGAAGCAGCCCTGTTCCTGGCCTCCAGGCCACACTCTCCTCCCTGTGCTGGGTGGGTAGAGAAGCTGTGCTCAGATAGCCACCCAGACCCGCCCTACCCCACTGCCGGCCACTGCACCGTGTGCCCACTGAGTGCCCCCCATCGCCGTACCATTAAGGTAGTAGCTCCTCCTGGTCCTGTCTCCCGAGGGCAGATTGTTCTCTAAGAAGCACACCTTCTTGGGCCGGGTCACCTCCCTGGGCTCCAGTGGGTCCTGCAAGGGGTTCAGGAGTGGGCACAGCTTCCTGTCAGTGCTTCGCGACGTGTGCAGCTCCTGGGGGCTGAGGAAAGCCTTGAAGGACACCTGGGAGGAAGTCACACAGCCTGGAGAAGGGTCATCTTCTCTGGAGAGGGGGGCGTGCGAGCACAGCAGGTCCTCCAGGGAGGATGTCTGCAGCTGGGAGGGCACCTCAGGGATGCTGGTGAACCTTCCAATATCTGGAACTGGGACAGGGAGGAAAGGGAGGAAAGGGAGGAGAGGTCAGGCTGATGTTCCTAAAACATCCCCCAAAGTGTAAAGGACACTTTAAGAACACTTCTACACCCTACCCCAAGCTCTGACACCTGCTCACATCCCCCATCTTCAGAGCCCTCCCCATTCCCCTCTGGAGAAGGTGAAAGATGTGGGTACAGCAACTGTGGGCCCCGCCCCTGCCCAAGGAAGCCACCAGCCTTGAGTTTATGGGCCCAGCAAGCATGTGTGCCTCGGGAGCTTCTGCCCACCATGCATCCACACCCAGCACAGTGACCTTTACATGCTTTTCCAGTTTTATGTAATGGTATCAACCTATGCCCGTTTTATTCTGCAGTAAACCTTTTTGCTGCAGCATCTTTTTTGAGATTTATCCATGTTGAGTTACTGGGTAGCTAACTGGTTCATTTAACCATTTCCTAGCACACGCAGATATGCACACACACAGGTACAGTGATTTTTGTTTTCTATCTATCAGAGAGGAAGAGAGATATAGAAACATCAATGATGAGAATCATTGATTGGCTGCCTCCTGCACACCCCCTACTGGGGATCAAGCCTGTAACCCAGGCATATGCCCTTGATCGGAATCAGACCCGGGACCCTTCAGTCTGCAAGCCAACGTCCTGTCCACTGAACCAAACCAGCTAGGGCTAGCTGATTTTGTTTCCTACAGCAGCAGTGGTGGCCCTGTGCACACAGCAGCTTCTGATCACTCCGTGGTATGTACAGACCAAGCTGATGATGACAGATGGCTTTTCCCTAATCCTTGGTGACGTTGAACATCTTGTGCGTCCATGGGCCGCTCAGGTTTCCATTCTGTGAAATATCTATGCCTCTTCTTTGCTCATTATTTCTTGGTTAAATGATTTGTAGCAGTTCCTTTTGTACTCTGCATCCTAATGCCTTGTTGATAAAACGTCTTCTCTCAGTGGGTGCCTTGCTGATATTTTAACTCTGTTTGATTTTTTTTAATTGATTAAGGTATTACATATGTGTCCTTATCCCCCCCTTTAACCCTTTTTTATGGTGACTCTTATCATGCAGACTTTTTAAAATTTTAACATGTCAAATTTAACCTATCAATTCCTCTGTGGTCTATGAAATCCTTTTCTACCCCTATGTCATGGCTTTTTCTCCTAGTAATAAAGCGAGTATGTATATTTGAAAAAATAGTTTAAGAGCTATATTACAAAATTAAACCCTAAAATGTGCCTACTACTCTATCCCCAGCAGTGCTTTCCTCAAAAAACAGTTCTCCAGAAGGAATGTAATCGGTATGAGGCCTGCCTCCTTTCTGCCCACCCAGCTAGCACAGCCAGTCCCAGCAGCGGCTCAGGGCCTCACAGTCTCCCACTACAGGGCCCAGAACCTGTCAACAACCATCTTCCAAGAATTCACCCAGCATGAGTCATCAAAAACCGCACAGTCCTGGGTTCTTCCCCAGAGGAGAGTGGAGCCCCGTGCTTGGAAAGGGGGTTCTGTCCCACCTCACCTCAGAGACTGGGGAAGAGCGCCATCTAGTACTGGCTTTAAAGGGATTTTTGTTGTGGTCGGGTGGCTTTGGGCTTTGCTTTTAACTTCAGATTAGTAAACTGTAACTCCTATTATTCCCAAGACTTCAATAAAGTTATATTAAACACTTTAAACATTTTTAATCATCAGTCAAGTCTAAAATATAGGTATAATTTTAAGCCACATTATAATAAACTATAAACAAATAACAAGCCCTGACCAGTTTGGCTCAGTGGATAAAGCGTCAGCCTGCGGACTGAAGGGTCCTAGGTTCGATTCCAGTCAAGGGCATGTACCTTGGTTGTGGGCACATCCCCAGTGGGGGGCGTGCAGGAGGCAGCTGATTGATGTTTCTCATCGATGTTTCTAGCTCTCTGTCCCTCTCCCTTCCTCTCTGTAAAAAAACAATAAAATATATATTTTTTTAAAAGAAATAACAAGAGTGAACAGAAAACTCTGTCTCCTCAGAATTAAAAGAGTTCTCCTGAGTAATGATCATATCAAAAACAAAAATAGGAAAACACAATTATTGAGAAAAGATTAAAATCAGAACATTAGAGTAAGGCATTAGCGCATTCAAAACTAAATTTATCATGAAATTAGTAATGTAAGTTCTTTACTTTTTAAAAATCACCCAAAAAGTTAAACACTCAAATCAAAATATGGGAGGAACTCTTAAGGAAAGCAAAAATTTAAAAACTATAAAAATGACAGCAGAAATACACTGGAAACCGTTCTATGGAAAGTCCAATAAGATAACAAAACTGTGGAAGGCTACTTTAGAGAAACAGAAAACATACAGGAATAAAATTGAAAGTGAGAAAAGCGATTTAAGAATGACTAGGAAGGAAATGCTTGAATTAAAAAAGATTATATACAATTGTATATTAACTGGAAATTTTGATAAAAGAAGAGATCTTCAGGGAAATTATTTTTAAATGTCTCAATAAGAGGTAGAAAACCTAAAGGAACCGATAAAGAAAGAAGAAAAATCTGGAAGTTGTAAAATAATTATGCTCTAAAGGGCTGCAGGGCTGGGTGGTTGGCAGGTGAATTCTTGCAAATTCCAGGACAATGCATAATCCCTACATCATATAAACGTGGTTGGAACACTGAAAAATTAAAAGATGCTTGATTGAGGTTCTAGTTTGTCACGACTATGCTATTAAATCCCAGCAAAGAACCCACAGGAAGGAAACACAGCCTAGACCAGGGGTGGGCAAACTTTTTGACTCAAGGGCCACAATGGGTTCTTAAACTGGACCGGAGGGCCAGAACAAAAGCATGGATGGAGTGTTTGTGTGAACTAATATAAATTCAAAGTGAACATCATTACATAAAAGGGTACGGTCTTTTTTTTTTTTAATTTTATTCATTTCAAACGGGCCGGATCCGGCCCACGGGCCGTAGTTTGCCCACGGCTGGCCTAGACTCTCAGAGGAACAGAGCCCAAGATCCTGAGCTGAGCCCCATCCAGACCCAGCAGAGCCCAGGACCCTGGGTGTCCTAAGGGAGCAGAACAGCAACACCCCACGGACAGGCCGAGGGAAGCCACTGAGGGCACCACCACGGATACTACAACCAGATCATCAAAATTGAACAAGATGAGCCAATTCTCAAGTTTTTGTTTTTTAAAAAGGACTCTTCCCTACCACCCAGCCTGCGTGTCCACCACCCTTGGGCAGACAGGGCATCACTGCCCACTGGCTGCCAGGAGGACAGGGGACAGGCTGTTGGAGCCAAAGTTCTGAGAGTTTGAGAAACAAAGACCAAAACAAGTGGGCACGCTGTCAATCTCGTTTAAAGGGTCATTTGTAAATAGTGCAGTCGTAGACGTAGAAAACGGGAATGAATTGAAAAATAGTGGAATAAAAACAGCTTATGAAGAGGCTGATGCAGGTTGGGTATTTACCTACCAACAGCTTTCCAAAATACATCAATTCAGATGACTCTACAAATACAATGGGGGGTAAAATCCATAATTGTAAGAAAGAACATGAAGTGCTCCCGGAATAAACTTACTGATAAATGTGAAAAATTTATATGTGAGAAACAGGTGAGGAGACTTGGAAAATTGTGAGCCAGCATAGCTTAGTGGGTGAAGTCATCCTTGGGGTATATGGAAGAATAAGTAGATAAAAATGTGAGAAAAAGAAATAATGTGAAGCTCATAATTATACTTTAGCAAAACATACGTAAGGAAATAACCCTAAATATAAAAGTCCTTTTGCTGTGTTATTTATCCCAGGATAAGAAAGAAGTATAATTTCAAACATGAGGAAAAGAGTTCATTAAATTGTGTTCATGTGATTTTTTAATATCACAGTCAGTCATTTAAAAATATACTTATAGCAGCACAGAAATAACCATGTCGTGATGGTAAAGGGAAAGAGGCGGAGGACTGTACATAGAGAATACTCAAAAACTACTAAAAACCATCTCCACCCAGAGCAATGAGGATTGCGTGAACACCCCCGAGAACTGAGGTGGGGGGCCCAGGTTGGGGCTTAGGGGACCTGCCACCCCCTCTGGTCCCTTTGAAACTGTGCATTGTGCTTGAAAACCCGAGTGAAGGGAACAGCCCAACAGGAGCCTGGCTGGGAACCGTGCACACGCTTCCCCGAGAGCAGGCGTGGCTGCTGCACGGCCGAGTGTTGGGAAGGCAGGGAGGGCAGGCACCTGCTCCTCCTTCGGCAGAGTGCAGGGGCCGCAGCCTCTGGGGAGCATTCGTCAGTGTCTATTTCAACATGTCAACCGCTCACAGCCTTTGACCCAAGGATCTCCCGCAGTCACCCCTGCAGCTGGTCAGTGAGGCCCGTGTCAGGCTGTCCGTGGTCACCGCTGGGAGGACACTGCTGGTCGTGGGGTCAGACGGAGGGCCATGTGAACCCCACACGGGCCAGTCTGCTCTCCAAGAGGGATGCAGGCGGCCAAGTGCCGGGCCTGGCGGGGCCAACCCCACGGCCTGGAGGTCCGAGATCACACACATCCTGTCTGAAGCCACCGTGGCAGCGCCCGTGTGCTGGTCACTGATACACACACCAGCTCAAGGGGCGAGGCCACAGCACCTCGTTTTCCAGGTGTGGACTGACAGGCTCACCCGAGGGCACGCAGCAGGATGAGCACCTGGACCTGGGGGACGGAGGGGTGGCCGGGACCACCTGCAGGAGCAGCCCCCACGCCCGGCCACCCTGCGGCCTCACCTGCAGTCGTGGGGGAGCAGTCCTCGGGGTAGGCCGGTGCCTTGGGGAAGAGGAGGTCCCGGCTGCTGCGGCCGCAGCTCTCCTGGCAGCTCTCGCTCAGCAGGCGCTTGAGCATCTGGTTCTCCTTGAGCAGCCGCACCTGCTTCTTGAGGTCGGCGTTCTCGCTCATGAGCCTGTTCATCAGCTCGTTCCCCTCGGCCATGACCAGGACGCCTTGCTCACGTGTGGGCCTGTGGCCCCATGGAGATGGAAATCCAGAGCCACGACGCCACAGAAACAGCCCAGACCAGAGTTCCACGAGGGCCCCACCTTCCGCAGCCTTGTGATGTCGCCTTAAAGAGGCGGCGCCCTGCCCACTGCCACCCGCAGACTTGCTGGGGGTGCCCAGACCAGGGTGCACGGCAGACACCTCACACCAGGGACGGACGAGGGAGGTGGGGCCAGGCAAAGCCTAGGTGGGGGGCCCGTCACGCTCATGGGGAGGCCTGCCCCGCCAAGGAACACACAGGACCAGGCCTGAGACAGGATGGTTCTGGCACCTTCTAGGAACAGCCAGAATATTGGGCCGAGGGGGTATCCCATTCATACCATGGGAGTCCACAGGCCCAGTGGGGACGTCGTCTTTACTCTGAGTGACTGTGCAGCCGCCCGCACCACCCCGTCACCCTGGACCTCGGACCAGGCGACTTCCCGACTCCAGGCCCAGCCAGGCTCTGAGGCTGGCTGATCAGCCTAAACCTGGGCAGGTGTCTGGTGCCCTGGGCCACACACTTGAGGGAGGAAGGGGCAGTGAGGACAGAGGGAGCCCAGCTTGGAGCCACGATGGTCCCAGCCCCAGAAGCTCCAGCAGCTCCCACAGGCTGGCGGTTGGAGGCTGCCCTGGTGGAAAGGGCCCGGGTGGCACAGCCCTGTCCTGCACAGACAGTGCAGAGTGTCTGACACTGACCGTTACTGGACGTAACTGAAGACCCCCCCACCAGAGCACAGGGGCCGTCTGGACCAATCACAGGCAGGCCTGTGGCTCACAGAGTCCTGCCAGAGCCAGATGCCAGCCACACAGTCAGCGGGGCCTCTGGGAAGCCCTCCCAACAGGACCCCACCGAGATGCTCTTCCCTCACCCGCTCAAGTAGCTTAGCTCTGTGCTATTTCCTGGCTCCAACGGTCTTGGTCCTGCTTTTCCGAAGCCACAAGGCAACAGACGGGTCGCTTCCTGACCCTCCAGAGAAGGATCATGGCCCAAAACAGGAACCAGCGTGTCTTCCATCCCTTTTGCCCCGATGCTGCGCTCCTGGCTCAGCATCACAGCACTGGGTGCGAGTGACAAGTGGGGTGTCCCCAGCAGAACAAGGCCTTTGTTTCCCCGACTGCCCAACGCCTACCATGTCGCTTCAAGAAATGCAAGCCCAAGTCAGGCATGGTAGGAAGAACGACTTCTAAATCCTAAACGCCCCTACGCTTCCCCAGATGGACCAGTGTGTGGACCCACAGGCCCTCACGTTAGAGGGAACTCTCCCCCCTGAGGGAGGGTGTGGGCACTTCTGGGACCCACAGCAGATGCCTGCTGGACCTTTTCACCAGCTCCTCCCATCACATTCAAATCCCACGTCTTTCCCACCCCAAGAAAACCTTCTTGATGCCACAGCCCCTTCATCCTGTCAACGCCCAGCCAGTGTGCTGGTCCTGGTGCACTATCTTGTTGTTATTGTTAATCTTCACCCGAGGATATTTTTCCATTGATTTTTAGAGCATGGAGAGAGCGAGGGAGAGACAGAGAGGCAGAAACGTAGATGTGAGAGAGATACATTGATTGGTTGCCCCCCACATGCTCCTCGACCAGGGACCAGGGATTGAGTCTGCAACCGAGGTATGTGCCCTTGATCAGAATCAAACCTGAGACCCTTCAGTCCGAGGGCCCATGCTCCAACCACAGAGTCAAACCAACTAGGGCTCTTAAACATTTTTATTGCCTCAATTCATCTGATGTAGCAACAATGATTATGTTATTAAGGAAAAGTAGTCTTTTAGAGGTAAGTTTCCACTGCGAGTTAAACATTTCCTCAAAGGAAAGGGTATAAAGTTTACATCATGCTGAATGCAGAAAAGCTAGTATGACTCCAGAGAAAATTTCCCAGCATAATATTCAAAATCTGATCACTGAAAATAAGATAATTTGAATTCAAGGCTCTTCAATGATTTACCCAGGATAGAGAACTGGATTTTTAATCAGGTTGAGGCAAATATTTTCCCCTGAAAGAACTGGAGACGCACCTGCTTATCTTCAGGCAGTTACTCTTGCTCCCTGAAACTGAGAAGCTGGTGAGCCCGGACAGCCCGGGACAGGGCCCAGGGCCGAGAACAGCAGGAGGAAGGCCACATGTGCAAAGCCTCGGGCCCTGGCTGGTTCTGGGCAGGTAACGGCAAGGGCAGCGGGGCTTTCAGACAGCTGTCTGCTGTCTGGGAGGGGAGGTGGCCAGGGGAGTGCAGGGTGGGGCTGCCATCGGTCCAGGAGGCAGCACAGAGAAACTGCAGGTGGAGGTGGTGTTGGGGTGGGGCCTCTGGGCGTTCACCAGGCCTGAGTTTTACTCTTATCAAAGCTCTCAGTGACTCCTCACAGCTACACCCGTGGGGAGGCCGTGAGTATGTGAGCCGCTCATCCGCTAAGTCAAAGGCAAACCCAGGTCCCTGATTTTTCATTCTGAGCCCCAAGTCCATGCACACTGGACCAGAAAGGTTTAGACCAGCCAGAGAGGGACTGAGAGGTTTACCACCCAAGAAGCATCACCTGGAAATCTGGATCCCACTTCAGCTCAGAGAAAACTAGGGTGGGAGGGTCACGGCAGCCACTCGAGTGCCTTGGGCATCACACCTGCCTGGCCAACTTCCGTGGGCAAAGACTGACAGGCTGGGTGCTCAGCTATCCCTGGCACACAGTGATGCCCCTCAGTGGTAACCACAAGCCATGAACGACCCCTACTCTTTGTTATGCTTGGCCTCCCTGTGCATTTCTGTCATTATGAGAGGACTATCGACTCTCAAGATGGGGATACTGGGTCCCACGAACTGGCTGCACCTCGATATAGCATGGAGGAGATCTGGGGCAGTGTTGGCATGTCTGGTCCCTGTCCTCACCGAGCCCTGGGTGGCATGGTAAAGAGGCAGGCCCAGCCCCTTTGCCCCCACTCTCACCTCCCAGTCCAACAGACAAGAGACATAGGAAGAGCCACCGGGGGGTGAGCCCAGCTCCGGGCAGGAGGCAGGTAAGGCACAACTGCTGAGAACTATTATTGGTCAAGAAAGCCGTCCCAGCCCTGCAGCCATGCCCCTAGGCAGGCTTGGTCCCTGGACTCACCCCAGAAGTGGGGAGTGAGGGAGTGAGGGACAGGGCTACAGGGCACCCATGTCCCGGCAAGATACTCCAATCTTACTCAGCATCCCCATAGGACGCCGGTGCCTGCCACCCACCGGCCAGGCACCCATAGGCCCCCTCTCAAGGGTGGCCAGCGAGGGCATTTTCGGGGTACAGGCGGGAGAAGCGGCCGAGGGCCCAGATGGGGAAGACGTTTCTGTAGCTTGTGTAGCTGATGGCGCAGGACTTGTTGAAGACTCCAGAGATGTTTTCCTGAAAGGACACAGGGACTTAAACTCAAAGGCTCCACCACGTAGGCAAGGCACTCCCTAACCCAAGAGTCCAGGTGGAGGGCTGGGCAGCTTGTGGGGAGAGTCAGCGAGGCAGAGCCCCAACAGCAGTCCTCCCCCCACATCCCAGCTCTCGGACCCCTCCACCTGCAGCACCCTCCTGCCTGGTCACCAGTCCTGCACAGGTGTGTCAACGCCAGACTCATCCAGAGAGGGGGGTTAACCTCACATGACCTCGTGACCCCACGCCCACAAGGATTGGCAGTGAGGGGCCCATCAGGCAGAGCCTGAGGGCTTCCTCCATCCAGCGTCCCGGCATCACCAGCCCCGCCCCTCAAGCTAGTGCTTAGATCTGCTTTCAACACAGGCCACTCGTGAGTCATGTCTCGGAATCTCAAATCCCCCCGCCCATGAGCCCCCCGTGAGGGACACAGGGCCAGGAGGGGATAGGAAACTGAGGTCAGAGCCCCCACAGCATACCTGGGGCCAATCACCATTGGGGAGCTGTTTTGTAAGCAGACATCTGACTCCTCTCTCTAGGGCCTCTACATCAGGATGCCTGAGGAAGAAGAGGCAGTGAACACACCATCACCACTCTGTGGATGAGACAGCCACTGGCTGCAGCCAAAACCTGGCCCTCACCCTCCACAGCCCAGCACGGGACAAAGATGTGAAAACCTAACCCGCCATGCATGAGGTATCGGCACCACTTGGGACAACCAGTGCACCTCAGGCTCTCGCTGCACAGCTCACCCCAAGAAGTAGAGAATCCAGCGAGTGCGAAGGCGAGCAGGCCAGGTGGGCAGCGCCTGAACATGGGCAATGAGGAACCCCACCTGTCCCAGACCTGCTGCTCTGGCCCTGCCATGAGGCACTGCTCTTCTGCACCCCCAGGAGAGGAGGAGGCCAAGCCCCTCTGCCCACTGGTGCTCAGGCCCCCTAAGAGCCACAGAAGCCACCAGTGCTAATCCTCGCTCATCTCACAGGTTCAGGACCAAACTCAGCTGTGGGAGGCAGACTGGGGGCCGGTCCCTGACCCCGTTCCCTGCTCACACTAACCTGGCCTAGCTGGTACGGGGTTTTAGGAAGATTCCCCAAATGGCCCCGAAGCAACAGGGCAGCACAGACTGGGCTACTGTGCATGCCCATGTATGCATACATGGGCATGTTACATGTGCATGAGTTTGTGTACCCATGTTTGCATGTCTGCACATGTACACCTCTGTGTGTACACCTGCCTATGCACACACATGGCTGAGCTCTACTGTGGAAACAGGCAGGACCACGGAGCACAGCTGTGGGTAGCGAGCCTCTTTGCAGGAACCCACTGATTCAGACAGACCTATAACTCTGGACAAGGAACCCTGCAACCTCACCTCCTCCCATCCCTGCACGCAGAGCTCCGCTGCCCACATCCCGACCAAGTCCCCAAGTTCAGTGTCCTTCCTCTGTCTGCCCCCACCTGACGGCCATCAGCCCCATCAGGGCCCAGCACGTATTATGGATCTGGGAATGGGCACTCTGCACGTAACGTCGCTGCTCACAGGACTCGAAGTCCTCGCCCCAGCCTCCGTCCGCCATCTGCTGGGACAGCAGGAAGTCGCAGGCCTGGGTGACCTCTGCACAGGCAGTCCTGCAGACACCAGACACGAGACACTGTCACACAGTAGAAGTCCCAGGCCCCTGGGTTCTCACCCTGGCCGGGCCTCCTTAGGGCTGTGGGGAGGGGGGCTGCACTTGAGGTCACCCACCATGGATAAAGTGAAAATCTTTGTAGCTGCAGGCGGCCTCATTGCCATGAGCACCCCATGAACACCCACCCAGCCAAGCAGAATTGGATGAGGCCACTGGACACAGCTCGGACTGAGGCCTCCGCCCTTCCCTCAACGCAACCCAGAGAGTATCCTGGACTGTAGCCACTCCCACTGTTTTAAAAAATGTAAAAACACCCCCAAAATCAAACATCAAAGGAAGATACTCCCCAGCAAAGCATCACACTGAGAAGACCCCATCCCACCAGGGGGCAAATGCCCGCACTCACCCATCGCGGTAAATCTGCCCCATGCAGGCAAAAGCTTCCAGCCCGAACCAGGTGCCGTAGGTAAAGCAAACCCCCCAGGAGCTGGAGGGAGACACGGGAAACGGAGGTTCAGCTGCCCAGGCCTCACTCAGCGGATGGAGAGGACGGACACGTCCAGCATGGGGAGGCTGTGGTTATTTTCAAGAGAAACATCCGCGTGGCCGTCACAAGCCACACCAGCTGCAGAGCTTTAGACCCGTGAGGCAAGCCCGCCCACAGCCCTCGGGTACAGCTCGTCCACTGGAACCACGAGCAAGGTAAGAACTGATCCAAACCCAGAGGGGAGGACGTGAATAATCAGACCCAACAAATAAGGCACAGGCCACCGAGCATGCCCCATACACTCGCCAAACACCGCCAGGGGGAAGGCCCGGCATTCTCAAGGGACAAGGTCCACCAGAAATCTGTCGCTGGCAGCCTCCTGCCAGAGACCTCTGGTGTAGCACACGCATGCCGCGAGTGCAGCCGTGCCCGGGGCCCACACATCTCACTCACCCTTCCCAGGAGCCGTCAGCCCTCTGCTGCCGACGACAGAACTCCAGGCCCTGCTCGAGGGTCTCCCTGCAACACAGGAGGATGGCCCAGTGAACATTCCAGCAAAACAGCAATTTGCTCAGTTCTATCCAGTCTATAGTCTCAAAAAAAATAAGCATGGTGTCCCCTTAAAAAATATGTAAAAATAAACCAACGACTCAGAGAGGAGACACCAGCAACTATAGGACACAGGAGGGAGTTAAAGAAATGCAAGACGGAAGCAAACAGTGAGGGAGGAACCAACATTAGAAGCGGCTGCAACAGGATCAGTATCCCTGAAAACAATGTCAGTGACAGGGGCTTGAGTAAATCACACAAGATGAAATTTTACGGAGAAATTTAAAAATCAGAGAGAAAACAAAAGATTTAGAGGACAGAGAAGCCCCATCGCAAGTCTAACTGGTACTTCAGATAAAGAGACCAGTTCTCTAGAAAGGCCAGAGAGGAGGTACAAGCCCAGCCTGAGGTGCCGTGACCCTTGCCTTCGGGGCTCACCCCATGTCATCTGTCAGCTCCTGCAGAGCTGATGGGACATCACTCCTCTGACCGCATCGCGTGACACGCTGGCCTTCCTCTGGCCAGCAGAGTCCCTCTCTCTCGATTCTCTCCCCCTGCTGGCTTTCACAAAGCCGCACAGAGGCCCCCTGGGCCAAAAATGAAGGGTGGCCTCCAGCCAACAGTCAGCAAGCAAACAGGCCCTGAGGCTGACAATGCACAGGACTGGACACCTGCCAACAACCACACGAGCTCAGAGAAGATCTTCCTCAGTCAGTGCTCAGAAGAGACAGCGGTCAGCTGGTGACAGGGCCCAGAAGCTGGGAGGTGATCCCCGCACATTGTTTTAAGCCAATTCTGTAGCAGTATTGTTACTCAGTAATAGGAAACAAATACAGAGGTGAAGGTACAAATAAATTATATCAGTAATAAAAAGAGTAGTATGACTATAGGTATAATGGAAATCAAAGTTAAGATAAAATGAGAAAAGTTAAGACAACACATTTGAAATGTGAACAAAATATACACATTACCAGGAAAATTAACTTATCAAAAATGACCCCAAGAAGAAACAGAGATCCCGAATAGTCCTATAACTACTAAAGACATGAGTCAAAAATGTGAACTTTTCCCAGAAAAAGAACCCCAGGCCTAGAAGTTTTATAAGTGAATTCTATTAAATTATCACGAACAAGCATTCTAATCTCACACAAACTCTTCCATGGACTAGGAAGAGGAGAAACACTCCCTAATTCATTGTAGGGACCCAGCATTAGCTTTTCACGGCCGGATAGGGAAGGCGAGGCACGTGCCTCCAGGGCTGAGCTATGTCACAGCTCGGCATCCACGGATGTGGATGCAAGATTCTAACTAAACATTGGGAACTGAACATGGTAGAGATATACTAAGTCAGGTTCATTCCAGAAATGCAAAGGTGTTTTAACATTAGAAAAGTCTACAAGAGTCATCCAGGACATTAGGAGATAAATACATAATCATCTCATAGACATTGAAAAATCACTTGCTAAACACAATACCTGCTCACAACAGAGGGAAAGAAACAACTTAACAAAATTAGAAAAAAGAACTTTGTTACCCAGAAAAGAGGTTAACTACCAAAAACCTACCACAAATATCCTTCTTAATGGAGAAATATTAGAAGCAGTCCCCTTTAAAAAATCTTTACAACAAAGATGCCACTATTACTACTTTCCACAAAGAAAACTCCAGGCCCAGATGGAGTTTCCAAACATAAGGACAAAATAGCAGAAATCTCACAAATTCTTCCCGAGAACATAAAAAGAAAATATACTGTCCAGCATCGCTTCACAGGAGACCCTGACAGAGACATTATAATAAGGAAAATTACAGACCAGTTTCTCTTACAACCACAGTTGTAAAAATCCTAAACAAAACAGCTCAAATTTAACCCAACATATAAAAAGGAAAGCTTAGGACCAAACTGAGCTTCCACAAGGTTCACCATGAAACACACGACAGGGAATTGTCCCACTCGGGAGCCAGCAGCATGTACCTGGGACACAGCCCGTCACTCCTGATCATCCTCTGTGCCCAAAAGATACACACGTGTTCACAGCAGGATGATTCTTAATAAGCAGGAACAGCCCCACGGGCCCATGACAAGCATGGGGACACAGCGTGGCACCTGCACTCAGCACGCGTGCCGATGGCCAAGAACAGTGTGAACGGCTGCTCCGCAGGCCTCGTCTCCCGAGCAGGAGGCCGAGGGAAGGAAGCCAGGCCCGGGAGACCCCACTTGGGTCCTCGGGTGCAAGAACCCAGCAGCCACAGAACCAGGAGGGGAGGGAGCTTCGGCAATGTGTGTGCCCCACGCGGCCGGCCACACATTCTGTCCACTTCACGACAGTTCCTCAGGCACCACACAGAGGGTCTGCATGCTGCCCTGCCCATGTCAGACTTCAACAACAAGGTTTAAAAATTACATGTCGGCCCAGCCGGTGTTACTCAGTGGTTGAGCGTTGGCCTATGAACCAGGTCATGGTTCGATTCCCAGTCAAGGCACATGCTTGCGTTATGGGCTCAATTCCCCAGTGTGGGGCATGCAGGAGGCAGCTGATAGATCAGTGGTCGGCCAACTCATTAGTCAACAGAGCCTAATATCAACAGTACGATTGAAATCTCTTTTGAGAGCCAAATTTTTTAAACTTAAACTATATAGGTAGGTGCCGGGGTCCAGCCCCAGCGGGTCCAGGGGTCCCCAAAGGCGTAGACGGAGTCGGCGAAGAAGGAAGGACACGGAGACAGCGTTCAGTTGATCAGCAGCCTAGCCAGGATCTCTAGCCAGGATCTCTAGCCAAGTTCTGGTCTGTATCTCCAGAGAGGTTCTCCTTAGGATCTCCAGCCAGGTTCTGTATCCATGTTGTCTTGCTAGGTTCTCCAGCCAGGTTCTCCAGGTTCTCCAGCCAGGTTCTGTAGCCAAATTCCCTCGCTAGGTTCTCCAGCCAGGTTCTGTCCAGGTTCTCCAGCCAGGTTCAGTTACCAGGTTCTAGTCAGGTTCTCTTGCCAATTTCTGTAGTCAGGTTCAGTCCAGGATCTTTTGCCATGTTCTCTCCAGCGAAGTTCTTCTGTCTGTAGGTTCTGTGTAGGTTCTGTCTTCTTAGTTCTGTGTTCTAAGCTCTGTATTCTAAGTTCTGAGTCTTGCTGTCTTGTTACATCTGTATTTATACCAGTTGATTCAATCCTATCAATCTCTATTACAAAGGTTAGGGCGTTTCTTATCTCCATTCCAGGGAGTAAAGATTATGTAGCTTAAGCATGATTGTTCGTAGTTAAAGTGATTAATTGCCCACCTGGCACTTAGTTAAGAGGTTTTATTCCCTCCCTAACTTCAGGGTAAAATCCCTACCTGGGGAAACAACCTTTCTCAGAGACCTTGGTTAAAACACATAGTGCCAAGAAGGTGAGCAAACATATTAAGAACAATATGCCATATATGCCAGGTCCCTTGAAACAGCAAGCATGGACCGGCTCCCGGCAAATTCCCCCTTTTTTATTTTTTAAAAGCAGGCATTAAAAAGAAAAACCCCAAATGCTCTCTTATATCCATTTTAAGAGTAGGATTGGCGCTTTCCGCTATTACCTGAGTCCTGAGCTATCACCCCAGGGAGAGCTTGCCAATCCTGCACTTTCCCAGGGTGGAAAGGCTGCAGTGGGGTTAAGGATAAGGCTCCTTGGGCCTACCTTCTCCCATGCCATTACATTTACCTTTCCTTCCTCAGAAAAGCATGGACATACTTCTTGTATAAAACGTTCTGTCTGACTGGGAGTAACCTTAATTCCTCTGCTAGCAAGCATATGTGCTAAAAGATCAATACAGAGTCTTATTTCTTTAGACTCAGTATGGCACATCTTCTCAATCTAAGAATCAATACAGAGTCTTCTTTCTTTGGACTCAGTATGGCACATCTTCTCAATCTAAGTTCTGTACTATCCACCTTCTTACCCTACTTATCCTCTATAGGGGGGTCTGCAGTACCCTGGTGGAGTCCTATCCGTCCCGAGTGTGGGGTTCTCAATGGGGGTGGGGGCTTACCTATGGGAATCCTGTTCCAGGAGTTCCCAAAGGTGTGGACGGAGTCGGCGAAGACTATCCACCCTCTTCCTACGGTGGAGTCCTATCCATCCCGAGAGTGGGGCTTACCTAGGGGTCCCTGTTCGGGCGCCATATGCCGGGGTCCAACCCCAGGGGGTCCAGGGGTTCCCAAAGGCGTAGACAGAGTCGGCGAAAAGGGAATGACATGCAGACAGCATTCAGTTGATCAGCAGCCTAGCCAGGATCTCTAGCCAGGATCTCCAGCCAAGTTCTGGTCTGGATCTCCAGCGAAGTTCTGGCTAGGATCTCCAGCCAGGTTCTGTGTCCATGTTCTCTTGCTAGGTTCTCCAGCCAGGTTCTCCAGCCAGGTTCAGTCACCAGGTTCTAGTCAGGTTCTTTTGTCAATTTCTGTAGTCAGGTTCAGTCCAGGATCTTTTGCCATGTTCTGTCTCTAGGTTCTGAGGCCAGTTTCTGTCCAGGAACTTTTGCCATGTTCTCTTCAGCGAAGTTCTTCTGTCTCTAGAGAACGTTCTGTGTAGGTTCTGTGCCTAGGTTCCGTCTCTCTTGGTTCTGTCTTCTTACATCTGTATTTATACCAGTTGATTCCAATCCTATCAATCTCTATTTCAAAGGTTAGGGCGTTTCTTATCTCCATTCCAGGGAGTAAAGATTATGTAGCTTAAGCATGATTGTTCGTAGTTAAAGTGATTAATTGCCCACCTGGCACTTAGTTAAGAGGTTTTATTCCCTCCCTAACTTCAGGGGAAAATCCCTACCTGGGGAAACAACCTTTCTCAGAGACCTTGGTTAAAACACATAGTGCCAAGAAGGTGAGCAAACATATTAAGAACAATATGCCATATATGCCAGGTCCCTTGAAACAGCAAGCATGGACCGGCTCCCGGCAGGTAGGTACATTGTTATTAACTTAATTAGGGTACTCCTAAGGCTTAGAAAGAGCCACACTCAAGGGGCCAAAGAGCCGCATGTGGCTCACGAGCCGCACTTTGCCAACCACTGGATAGATGATTATCTCTCATCATTGATGTTTCCACCTCTCTCTCCTTCTCCCTTCCTCTCTGAAATCAATAAAGATATATTTTTTAAATAATAAATAAAATAAAACTACATGTGGACACAGGTGGAGCTAGGGGTATGGATCCGTAACATTATTAAGATGTGAAAAATAACTCGCTTCTGTTATACTGTGCTCCTTGGAGCCCCCAGTACATGAGTCTGATACGTTTCAGGGCGTACAACCAGGTGTAAACCCCTCTCATATCTAAATGAGCTTCCCTCCAGGGCCCCTTTATATAATGGGCTTCCTTAGAGGACAACAGCCCTCCATGTCTGTTGGCAGCGCCTGAGCTCTTGACCCAGCTGGGGGCACCTGTGGCTGAGCGGCGGGGCCCTTACCTGACTTCCCCCGGCCTGTGCTCCGGAAACTGGCTGTGGAAATGCTTCAGCGCCTGCATCACGGCCGAGGTGCATTCCACATACAAGTAGTCGATCATGATGTCCCCTGTGAAAGGGAAGGATCCAGGCCTGTGAGCTTCACCTCGGCGATTCAGGCCAAATCGTGAAGAACACGCACTGTAACGTGCGGGGCCTGCAAGGCTCATCAAGAGCCTGACCCTTCCCTGGAGGAAGCGAGGAAGGTGTCACCAGTGACCAGCCCAGGGACACAGCCACCAGGTGGCACCTGCACAAGTGACCTGGTGACCGAGTGACCAAGTGACCTAGGCAGCGGTTCTCAACCTGTGGCAGTCGAACGACCTTTCACAGGGGTCACCTAAGACCATCCTGCATATCAGATATTTACATCACGATTCATAATAGTAGCAACATTACAGTTATGAAGTAGCAACGAAAATAATTTTATGGTTGGGTCACAACATGAGGAACTGTATTTAAAGGGCCAGAAGGTTGAGAACCACTGACTAGAGGCCCATCTACTAGGACAACCAGGCCAGCAGAAGGATACAGTAGAGATGCACCCCACCCTGAAAACCCTCCACTGGATCATGTTTCAGTTACAGGAGGGGTACAGAGGCACAAAAAGTCGGGTCAGAGTAAAGAACTGGCCCTGACAGACCAGAACGATGACACTCAACACGAGGAACAGGGAGAGAGGGTACCCACCACACCTCCCCTGCAGGAGCATCAGGAGGCAGGGGGTCTCCATGGAGGACAGAGCAGGAGTCGGCCCAGCTCGGGCCAGAGCCGGCTGTGACTCTGCGACAGAACCACAGCTTTCTGTTTACGGCTGGGGCATCACAGCCAACTGTGGAGGTCGGGGAGCATGGAATGCTCCAGTGATTGGGGGGGTTCCTTAAAGGATCTGCCACCATCCTCCAGAGCCTTTGTGGGCACTGCCCCTGGCCGGGGGAAAGACCTCAGGACTCTGGTCAGAGAATCTGCCTTGGGGCAGGCAGGGCCCGGGTTGTGCCCAAACGCCCTGGGCCAGCCACTCACCGAAGACCTCCGAGGGGTTAAGCAGCTCCAGCAGGTACCCTCCACGCTTGGTCTCGTAGGTGGCAAACCCCCCATCAGGGTTTCTCATGCTCAGCAACTAAAACCAGAGACCACACATTGTGAGCGCTGAGCATGTGCGAGCAGCCGAGGCTAGGTGGGTGGGCTTTCGGAAGCACTCAGGGCTAAGTGCTGACGGCAGGGGTGAGCAGCAGGGTGAGTTTTCACATCAGACCAAGACTCTCAGGTGCCCTGAGCATGGGCTGCAACCTTTCTCGACCAGCTACACCATAAGTAACTATCTGGGAACACACTCTGACACACTCACACATTTATAAGTCATGTATGTGCTGTGGAACCACGTGCCCTTTGCTGTACGACACGCACTGAAATGGATGTGCTGAAAGGCGTGTCCTGTTTTACCAGATACCCAGTGGAGACTGCCAGCCCTCCCGAAGGAGCCTCCAGAACTAGAGAGAAAACAGGGCCACAGCAGCCACCCCAGACCAGTCCAAGGCTCGTACACCCACTGGGAAGCGCAGGGCTCCGCACACACCCAGCCAGGACCTCCTGCTGGCCCAGCACAGGTGCCATCAGAGGACATGCCCCTCTGGCTCACGGTCTTGGCCCTGAGTGTTGGCTGGTACAGACCCTGTGGGAAGTACACGTGCGTGCACAGCTCCTCTGCAACACTAATGGGACCCAAGGGACCCCTGCGTGCACGGCGCCCCCAGCACCTGGGGAACAGAGCCCCATGCCCAGCAGCCTCACCACAGCAACAGCATCGAAGAGCCGCTCTCGCGGGACGTGCGTGGTGACAAAAGGACACTTTTCCTGCATGAGGAGGATAGACTTCAAGGCCTCAGCTGTGCAGTCGGCGACGATCCAGCCACAATCCAGAGTACTGAAGGGGAAGCCGCCCTGGAGAGCAGAGACTGTGACTGGGGGGTGGATCACCCAAAGCCCCTGCACCCTCCACACCCGTGGGGAGCCACAGCCCCAAGCCACACACACGTGTATGGGCCTCCAGCTTCTAGCACAAGAACCCCACAGACTATAGCCTCTCCCCAGCGTCGCCCTCACACCCCATCACACGATGGGCACCAGAAAAGGCCATAGGCACCCTCCTGACCCCCGGGAGGACGCAGCCACAGCTGTCCACACTCTCACACACACGGAAGAAAACAGCCCCTTCTGCCCTCTCTCCTCCCCCCATCACTCTAATTCACAGCCCAACAGCTTATTTCACGTCCGGACGTGTGTCTGTCTGGAAGCATCTCAGGGCACAGACGTGCACACAGCATGTGAAGAGGCCACACGGCTCAGCTGCCTCAGCCATGCACCTCAGTTGGGGTGTCTCGGGAACATCGCTGGAACCCCCACATGCATCCGTAAGAGCAAGAAGCCCCAGGACACCGAGGGAGGAGCCCCCCTGAAAGGCCCGACCCAGCTAATAGGCAGCCTCTCCCAGGGCCTGGGGCAGCAGGCACGACGCAGGTACCTTGCTCATCTGGCGGTAGTACTTCTGGTAATCGGGCGGGTTCTCTGGGACCTGGGAAGTGTACGAAGGGCACGCGTGGAAAGCACAGGAGGGAACATGTCACCACCACACCAGACACCGCGGCGGGGCAGGCACAGCAGGACATGGGGAGTCTGGTGCTGCGGCCCTCGAGGCATCGCCCCCACGGCCCACCGCCCAGAGCCCTGCCCACTGCTGGGAAACACAATCAGGCACCCCTTGAGCTGGAGAGGGCGGGGGAGGGGGAACCTCTGCCCATGGGAGGCCCCTCACAGCCCCCAGGGTTCACCTGTGAGATCCGCAGGAACTCGTGCGCCTTCTGCAGGCAGGACGAAAACTCGGGCCTGTGGTGTGCGCCCGCCTGGAAGAGAGAAGAAGCTGAGCCACTGGCCACAGGAGCCTGTGGGGTAGGCTGGTCTCCGGACGGCTGCCACCGCTGGGAACAGGAACAAACCCACCCGGGGTCTTAGGTGTCTGCCGACAAGTCAGAAAGACGTGATGGAAAAATGGTGTGGGCAGGAGGGATGTCCACACCACACCCGCCCACCCACACTCACAGGGTCCTGACCTGTCCGCGGCAAACCCCACATACGCTAGCCCGGCCCCACATAGCCTGACCCCTCCTCAGGGCTCCCCAGGATTCCATGACCTCATTCCACCAGAATAAAAACATGCTCCCACTTCTCTCTAGTGCATGCTCAGTGGCTCTTTCCAGAGTGTCCAGGAGAAGAGCCTGGAGCAGTCCCCACTGCCATGTCTCCCGGGGCAGCCTCTCCAGCCTCCCTGTTCCAGAAGCCTCCGAGCCAGCCCACTGCCCAGAAAAGACCCTGCTTCAGCCGATCCATCGCCAAGGCCTTGGAGCCCAGGAAAGCGAAGAGTCAGGGTCAGCAGGTGTTGTGTCCTGGGCACAGGGGTAGGTGCACAAGATCAGCTGGAGGCCGAGGAACAAGAAAACAGCCACGTACCTCCAGCAACGCCTGGATGGCGAACGAGGTGTCCCAGACCTGCGAGCCATTGGTGCCCTGCACACGAAGAGTGAACCATTGCAGCAGCCAGGCAGAGTCCTCCCAGCCGCCCACTGCCTCTCGGAATCTGTCAGTGCCGGAGGCTCCCACCAGCTCCCGCGAAGAGGCAGGAGCACCCTTCAAAGCCCATGATGGCTTGCGGGGGCTGGTCCTGCAGGCAGCCCCACCTGCCTTCATCGGACCGCCAGCCAGGAAAGGACTGTGTCAGGGTACTTCAGGGTCTGACAGCCAACCCCTGTGGTCTCCACTGCCTGTGGCCTCTATCCACCCTATGACAGCCTCTGGCCCTACTGTGATGACCAGAAACACCCCCCGCTTCTGAGGCGGTAAGGCCTGGCTGAGGCCTCGAAGGGGCTAGGAAGGCCCCCTCAAATCCAAGCCGGGAGCCTGGTTCACTGGTCAACACTGAGGTCCCACCGGAGCACCGATGACCAAACCCCAGTGAGGCAGCGCAGGACTGACAGGCATGTGGATAACTGGGATGGGAGTGGAAACACCTGAGCCCAGACCACCTGCGGCGCTAACAGGACAGCAGGATCGGGGCCCAGTGGGATGTGTGGGAAGAACTCCCACCACCAGGAAAACTGCCTGGCCAGAAGAAACCCGAAGGACATCAACCCTCAGGGCCTAACTGCCGATTTTCTGAAAATACAGGGCCCAGAGGAAGAAACCAGTCGGATCCAGAAGGTGGACCCTTTAGAGCAGCGGTTCTCAACCTGTGGGTCGCGACCCCTTTGGCGGCCGAATGACCCTTTCACAGGGGTCGCCTAAGACCATCCTGCATATCAGATATTTACATGACGATTCATAACAGTAGCAACATTACAGTTATGAAGTAGCCACGAAAGTAATTTTATGGTTGGGTCACAACATGAGAAACTGTATTTAAAGGGCCAGAAGGTTGAGATCCACTGCTGTAGAGGCAGGTGGCCAGGAAAGAAGGCACTTGGAAGATGGCTAGCAGAGAGCATCAGCCACTGGGCTCTAATCCGGATGCCCACAAGCCCAGCACAAACCACACTAAGGCATCCCTGACTCTGCGGTGGCAGAGACGTTTCCTAAAGACAAAGAAGCCCTCGAGCGCAGGGACATGAAAGGGCAGTTGGCATGTTCTGAAAATCCTTTTACAAGAGACTGGCGGAGTGGGAGTCAGGCGCTGGGAGAGGGGCTCAGGGCCTGCCTGGAGGGCACCGAGGTGAGCTTCTACGCTGGGAGCGCTGGCGTGGGGCCCGTCCCAAAGGCCCAGTGGCCTGTGCACCCCAAGGCCCTGCTGGAACCTCTGCTTTTGCACACTGAGCCCTGCGGGTTCAGCAGACAAAACCCCTCAGGGTGGCCCAACGGCTCCAAGGCCTGCTGCTTCCAGGGCCCCTGTAGCTGGAGGAGGTCAGCCCAGGAAGCCCTGCACTGTGGCATCCCACCCCAGGGTCACAAACAGAAAACATGCTGGGGGTCTGGGAGGTGGGGTGATGGTGTCAGATCACCTACACAAACCGATGGGACACCTGCAGAGAAAGGCGCCGGGAAGTGCATCTCAGGCCTGAGGGACGAAGCCATAAACCCTGAGGGTGGGAGCAGCTCCGCAGGTGCTAGGCTGGGGGCAGGGCTCTCTTCCTACCTGAGGCCTGCAGTTCATTAGTCAGGCCACTGTGGGCTCTGAGGTCACTGTCTGCTCCTGGCCTGCAGTCCTGAACTACTCTGGCTCACAGACGCTCCCGCATGGTGGCTGCAGAATCCTGGAGGACTCTGACCCTCAGCGCTCCCACAATCCAAGGGCTCTGGGCTCTCCTGCACACTTCCCAGCCCTGGAGGTGCGCCATGAACCCTCCGAGACAGGATGGAGGGTCTGCAGCCGCTCATCACACTGCCAGGCCTTGTTAGGAGTGATTTGTAAATCTCAACAAACCCACAGGCAGGAATGGTTGCAGAGGAAGCCGGCAGCCGGCCCTGCAGCTCTCACCTGCATCTTCATGCCATCGAGGCCCAGCCTGTGAAGAGAAAAGCCAGGTCAGGAAGCAGAGCACGAAGAGCTGGGAGTCAGGCGGTGCCCAGAGCCTGCATGGGCAGGAGACTCAGGACAGCCCCCTCTCCCCAGCCGGGTGAGAGGGAGCAGGAGACCCCTCCAAGGCACAACCCATAACTGACCAGCTCTCCTTGTCACCAAAGCCTTCCTGACATTCACCTGAAGCTGCCCTGTCCGCTCACAGGCTTCCTGGTTCTGCCTCCTAGAAGCACCCAGTTTGCACTAAGGGGTGGACCTTTCCACTCAAACACAACCCTCCTCAGCTTCCACGACCCTGAAACTATTGGTTCCAGCATCACACCATACGCCATGGCACCCTCGCTGGGACATGAAGGTGGAGATAGTCACATGCCTGCCGCCACGGCTGCGGGGCCCACAGCTACGCCAGTCAGAGACAAAGGGTGAGACCAACCAACCAGGCCCTTCCCACCACACTCACCAGAGGTAGTCGGGGATCCTGGAGACGTGCTCCTGGAAAGCGCAGGAGGCCGGCCCGTCCACGCGCCAGCGCACAAGCATGTTGATGGTTTTTGAGATCTGCAGGAGACGGGACTGTCAGGGCTCTGCTTCTCACCAACCCCACCGAGGGCCCAGCACAGCCCCCAGAGGCCAGGCCGGGCCTTCTGGTCTACCCCACGTTTCCCAAGCACACGCTGCTTCCAGGCCTGAGAGACAGAGCCCCTGTGGTGTCCAGGAAACCTGGTCTCCGAGGGAAGTGGGAAGGGGCAGAAGGTGTGCACAGAGGAGGGAGGGAGACCTGTAAAAGGTGTGAGCCCAGGGAACTGGCAAGTGAGCAGGGTGCCCGAGAGGGCTCCTGGGGACAGAGGGGCACAGGGGAGATGCAGGCCAGACCTGCCTGCTCAGAATGGCATGTTCTAGAGGCCCAGACCTTCCACTCTGGGATCTCCTAAGGCAAGATCTAACTAAAGCCTACATCTAACTTAAGTCAGACGTGCTTTACGCACATTAAATCAAAGCCAAGAGTCACAGTGCTGCTAAAAGGAACACAACTGACTGCGCTGTGGGGCATCATCATTTTCGATCCACTGGGGTTCCATGAGGCCCAGAAAGTGCCTGGGAGCAGGGTCGGGAGTGGGGCTGGGTGGCACTGCACCGACTGGGCGCACCTCACGAAGCCCCAGTCACGCCCCGCCAGGGCTCAGAACTGCTCTGCCTCCTGCACCCGTCGCCCATGGCCTTGAGCCGGCCTCCCCCACCCTGCACTGGCCGCTGTGCACCTGGCCACAGGGTCCCACAGATGTGTCCACACCTGGCCCCACAAGGCAAAGCCAGGTCAGGAGCCCAGAACCTCAGAGCAATGAGAGTTCCACGTCACGGGGGTTGGCAGGATCCAGGAATGGAACCCACGCCCCCTGCTGCTCTAACCCCCGTACGAGAAGGGCAGATAGGAGTTATTAGGAGTGGGGCTGGCCAGAAAGATCCTGAGAAAGTGGCGTCAAAGAGCAGTGTTCAGACACACTAGGTCAGCGGTTCTCAACCTGTGGGTCGCGACCCCTTTGGCGGTCGAACAACCCTTTCACAGGGGTCGCCTAAGACCATCCTGCATATCAGATTGTTTACATGACAGTAGCAACATTACAGTTATGAAGTAGCAACGACAATAATTTTATGGTTGGGTCACAACATGAGGAACTGTATTTAAAGGGCCAGAAGGTTGAGAACCACTGCACTAGGTAGTGGGGGTGGGAGGAGGGCCAAGCACACAGGTGGGGACTAAATGGGGTCCTGTTGGAGCAGAGGGTCGCCTGCAGAGAGCCCCTACTCCCAATCCCAGAGACCGGTCTCTGGGCCTTCCTCCTTGGGTCCTCGCCCACCCCAAGCCTGCAGTCGAGTGCCCACTCAAGGCTGACACCCAGCGGATTAGTGGCACTGACCGGGCCAATGCTGATGCACTTGGTGAAGCGGTCATCGGCCACAATGTGCTCATACAGCTTCCGGATGGCCCGCTGCCGCAGGCTGGTGCTGTGGTGGCGTTCGTACAGGTTGAGGATTACTGTGGGAGCAAGGGCATCAGCAAGCACAGGGCACAGAGGAGCTCCTGGCCTCAGCCCAGCCAGGCACAGGGCCACTTGGGCCCTTCCAGCCTGCCCTGCTCTGCCTTCCTTTCTGTCCCCCATGCCCTTCACACCCCACACCCTGCCTGCCCCCACACATTGGCATGCTGCCCTGCCATGTTAGGAGGGCTCCGTGAGTTGACAGGACAGGGACCCAGCGACCACCCAGGGCCCCGCACACCGCATGCAGTGCCAGTCTCCCAGGAGTCCCACAGGGAGGTGAGCCTGGACTGCAGTCTCTCCCCCAAGGAGGAATGACTGCGCCCTCCAAGGCCCTCAGCTCCCAGTTCTCTCATCTAGGGGCCCAAGCCCCAGGATCACTCCAAGGGCAGGGCAGGTCTGCTGGGCACGAGGCACACACAGCCGGCTCCTCACCACATGACCCACATGACGATGAGAGAGTAAACTCATCGCCACCTCAGGTGTCAGCTGACCCCAGGGAGGCCCAGCCAGCCCCAGGGAAGCACCCACCATACATTACACGGAGCAGCCAGCTGTGCGGCGTGTAGAGATCGTCAGGGGCCACGTTGTTCCTCTGCGCCGGCCAGTCGATGCTGGCATAGTCCTCCACATAGAGCTCCTGGGGATGACAGCACCTCAGCACCCACTGCCTATAGCTGTCTTCTCCCTCTGCCCCCCGAGGGCACTCCCTGATCCACACCCCGCACCCCAACCCACCTCAGGGCCTGCTTCCCAGGGACAGGTGCCTGTGCCCCATCCCACCACAAGAGGCCCTCTGGGCAATTCCTAAGGGGAAAGGGGAGGGAGGCCTCACCCTAACCCAGGGGTGGGCAACCTCTGGCACCCGTGCCAAACATGGCACGCCAGTAACTTTTGCTGACACATGAAACCCTCTCTTATAATCAATCTTCCATTTACAATTTTTTTCTTAATATTGACTTTTTTATTTTTCAGATAAATTCAGTGTAGGTGCATCTTAGATAAATAATTTTACATAATAGGTATATATTAAAAATAAATGTATTTTTCATCATCATATACTGTGTTTTTGTCGCTCAAATGAATTTTATTATTTCTTCAAGGTTCTTCACATACCTACACCTTAAGAGATATCAAGTAGGCGTAACATGTTCTCAAAAAATTAGGGTTGGCACGCAGAAGAATTTTGAGTCAGAGATTTTGCTGGTTTTGGCACGCACTCACAAAAAGGTTGCCCACCCCTGCCCTAACCTCAGGGGGCTCAGCGCTGCAGGCCCATGGGACCAGGCGAGCACAGCCAACCTTGAGGATGACCCAGGCCCAGGTCCTCACCTGGCGCAGGCTCTGGACCAGCGGGTCCTCCTCAGCATTCAGCCGGGTGGCATAGCAGTAGCTCATGGGCAGGTAGACCTGACGGCAGTGGCACCAGAGTGTGGAGGGGTGTGCAGGCATCCAGTCAGGAAACAGCCTGGGGGAGGGGGGACAGTGGATAAGCAGGAGCCCCAGCCCCGCCATCAGCACCACCACAGCCCCACACCCCCCAAACATGGACTCAGAGTGGCCGAGCACAACCATGCTCTCAAGGGAAGCGGTCAAACCCCCTCCCTGGGCGCCCCAGGGTGCAGGCCACTTCTGGTTCAGCCAAATGCATCCTGAAGCCAGGAGACCGCGGTCCTAAGGTTCAGGACTGTCTGTGGTTTCTCAGTAGTGGCAGACAAACCACGGTAACATGGAACGTTAATAGTGAGAAACAGGTGAGGGGTCTCTGGGACAGGTCTGGATTACCTTCACAACTTTTCTGGAAATTGAAAACTATTCCAAAATGAAAAGTTTACTTAAAACGGTTAGGCCTGAGCCTTTGATCGTGACCTCCACACATGTGTCTTCTGACATCAGCATAGCCAGGCCACCTTCCCGGGTGGGTGAGTACCGGGGGTATTTTTTCTACCCTCCCCTTCAAGCCCTCATCCTCATATTCGGGGCCCTTACACACCGGTGAGGTTCACGTCCAATTGGCAAGCCCGCCAGTGAAGAATGCTGTAATGGCCCCAAGACACGCGCCGTCCCCTTCCAGATTGGCTAACCTTGAGTAACAGAGCCTCTCCGCCCACTTCACCTTGCTGTCCCTCTGCCACCACCACCACCCCACCTCATGGCTGTGGAGGCCAGGCCCTCTGCCCTTCCAGCAGAACCCCGCTGTCACTCCCCAGTGGCCCCTTCACCATGTGCCCTTCCTCCACCAAAGTCATCTAACACAAGCCCCTCCCGCCCCCCCCCCCCCCGCTCTCCCCCCCAACCTCCCCGATGCTCCCTGAGGGACCACACCCTGCTGACAGTGCTCCAGGGGCCCTGTAACAGCCCAGCAGGGTGACCCACCCACCACATGGCCCAACCCAGGGCACCCCCATCCTTCCTTCCAATATTCTTCAGGCAGGAACCGAGGGCCCTGTCATTCCATTCAGTAGGGCAGCAGGGACCGGGCTGCCATGACCCCGCAGAGGCGAGCCTACCACATCTCCGGGAACAGGGTGTTGAGGCCTTCCCAGCTGTAAACGTTCAGGACGGCCAGCCAGAATTTCCCCCAGGAGGGGATGGCCACAGCTCCACCTGGAGAGAGAACAAGCCCATGTTATCTCCCTCCAACTGGACCCTCGGGAGTCATGCGTGCCCTTCTTGTCTGAACTCAGAGCAAAGGCTTCCAAACCCCACACAACAGCCACGGGGTCGGTCAGCAGCTTCCCCAACATGAGTGTGTGCAGCCCCAGGAGAGGCATTCACAGCCCGACCTTCAGGAAGGGGACACACAGGCAGCTACCTGGGAAGGTGAGGGGCCCAGATGCACACAGCAGCCTGTATCACATGGGCCTGGAGGCAGTGAGGGGCAGTGAGCGCACATGCTCGGCCTTCTCTTAGGGCCACTTACGGCTGCCCCTGACGCGTGTCCCCACTCAGCAGGCAGGGCGGCCACTCAGCAGGCAGGGCGGGACTCCAATCTGGCTGTCAGTGACACTCTGGCCCAAGTTGGAGCCACACCAGCAGCACAGGTCCCAGGCACAGAAACACCATCCCAGCTGTGCTTCACAAGGAGGCCTCGCCCAGACTCACATGTTCAGAAATAAAAAACCCAGGAGCCACCAGGGAAGCAAGTGTGGCCCAAACACATTCCCTCCCTAGGCAAGGAGCCTAAAAGCAGCTGGTGAGACCAGAAGCTAACGAGGAAGTCACTGCAAGCGCGACACGTGAGAAGACTGTGGGATTTCATTAGGATGCACACAGGTTAGGGATGGCTCCCAGAGGAGGGACATCCCAGGTGCCAGGGGAAGGATGAGGAGGAACTCCCACAGCAGTGGGGTGGGGTGGAAGGCAGGATCCCAGGCAGAGGGAGCAGCATGCAGAGCCCTGAGGCACGAAGGGACTTCCAGGAGCTGACAGGAGCCCCTGTGTGTGAGCACCGGAGCAGGAGGACAGGTGGACGGAGGAGTGGCCACGAGAGACAGGTGGTGAGGCCTGCCAGGCTCTGGAGAGCAGCAAGAAAGGTCTCAAGTCAGCAGGAGCCATGGAGCCGCCCCAGGGCTGCAATGAACAGCCTTCAGAGCACACAGGCAGGGGGAGAGGTGCTACCTGCTAGAGCCCACCCCGCAAACAGGAGGGTATATGGTTATCTTAATTTGCTTTTTCAAAAACTACTGGCAAGGTTACACCGTTTCTACTTCTCTGCTTTGATGAATTCCCTGTTCACGTGTTTCGCCCACTGTTTCAGGTGAAGGGGCATCTTTCTATTTCTCATTTGCAAGAACTCATTAAGCAAAGTAGCCTGGACCCTCAGCATGTGCTGTGCAGGGCATACCTTTCTTGTGAAGAAGGTTCCGTGCTCGTACCAGGTCAGGATCGTCAGGCCCAACACCCAGGATTCTCAGGGACACATAATTGAGTGCCGTCCCAAACACCGTGGACTTGTCCTCAATGTGCCTATAGGAGCGGGAGACATGGTGGGAAAGTGACATCTTTTATTACTTCTAAGAAATTAAGCAATGCTTTCAGTGCAATGTCCTCAGGAGGTGAGGGGCAGTGAGCACACATGCTCGGCCTTCTCTTAGGGCCACTTAGGGCTGCCCCTGACATGTGTGTCCCCACTCAGCAGGCAGGGCGGACTCCCACCTGGCTGTCAGTGACACTCTTATCCAAGTTGGAGCCACCCCAGCAGCACAGGTCCCAGGCACAGGAATGGAACACATCCTACACTGACATAACAGGACAACACAAGAAACACCCAGAACAGCCACCTCCCATGACAACCAAAACCGGCCCTGCAGAACCTGCCTGCCTCCTCTGCTTACTTCCCACACCCCAATCAACATAATCCATCTAAGCCCCATTCAGCACCATGGCACACAGAACACAGTGCAGGGCAACGTGTAAGGGCACGCTACCACCCTGTGCAGTCAGACGGCTCTGGTGACACCGCAGCATCTGTCATGACGTGCTGGGACCCACAGGCCAGAGCTGGGGCTCACAGGCCTGTTGAGAAAGGCTGAGCTGTTCCCCTAGGGTTCTGTAATGGGGGCCGGTGGTATGGATTTGGCCCACCAGAGCCCACAACCAGGGTGGGCAGGCAGGTGGCCACCTTGGGGGAGGGTCCTGATCCCAGAGCAAGCCCTGCCACAGAAAGGCAGGCTGAGACGAGGGAGAGCTGGCCAGCCCCAGCTGCACCTGTTGCCACCCCAGAGTCAGACAATTTCCTTCTGCCTTCGTGATAACAGCCAGATGGTTTTCACTGCAGGTGAGGGTCTCAGGTCCCTAAGCCGGTCATGCAACCAATTTATAACACAAGCTGGGACACTGACCACTCCCCCATCCATGCCAGGTTCACAGTTACAGTCACCCCGCCCCTCGACAGGTGCACGTCCTACACAAGAACATCTGTGCACATGTATGCACACATGGGCAGTGACAGGGCCGAGCAGACTCACAGGCCCCAGCCGCCGTCCGGGAGCTGCACCGACCGCAGGTACCGCACCATCTCTCCTTTGTATCCAGCTGGCAGAGGGATGCGCGCCACGTGGCATGTGATCAGGAGGCCTGTGTGACAGAAAAGATGTCTGGCCCTGGGAGCAGGCACTCGGCACTGCGAATCCCGGCCCCTTTCCTCCTGAGGACCCCTCCTGACAGGGAGCTATTCCCAAGGTTCTCCTTCGCACAGAAACAAGCCTGGGAAGGCTACTCCTCTGGACCTCGAAACCAGTGCTCACCACAGTGATGCACATATGTGCACATATGTTCAAGCCAGATTCCCATCCTCTCCATGTCACAGGTGAGGTGGCCGAGGCATCTGAAGTCCTATCGCCTTGCCCAGGGTTAAAGCAGACCAGGGGAAGAGTCTCCACAGGCTCCAGGTGGGCCGAAGAGAAGACAGAGCCCTTGACTTGCTCCCAAGGGCAATTTCAGGCCAAAAGACTAATTGTTTCTTTAGAGAAACATTTACAGGATGTAGGAGTTTTCTGTTTTTGTTTTTTTAGTGTGCAACAGTCTTGTGCAGCCAAACTAATTCCGTGCCAGGAGGCCTAGCAGCAATGTTCCTGGCACTCACCAACCCGAACTTGTAGCTCACCTGGCTGAGCTCCTTCAAGGTGCGTCCACATGCCAAAGCAGCCAACAGAGAGCTTAAAGATACCCACTGACCACCCTGCCTGCAACCAGCACCTTTGCACAGGCTCCGCCCTCCGCCTGGCGTGCCTGGGACGCAAGAGCCACCCCTCCCCCACCCCCAGAGCGCCCTTGCTTCCCTTGTCACAACACTGGGCTGGCAGTGCCTTCACCCCCCTCTCCCAGCACCAACACCAAGATAACTAAGGTGCAGGGTAACCCCTCCCACCCCAGCCCTTTTCCACGTGAGCTCCTGGGTGCAATCCTGCTTGCTCATTCACACCACAGACATACACCAAGGGCTTGAACCAGGTCAGGCCAGTACCCCAATGATGCCCCAGGGTCGCCTCGCCCACGGGCCCGGGGCAGCACCCTCCTACCTGGCAGGAGGAAGAGTGGGCCGCCATAATCACCCGCCCAGTGCCCGTCCTCGGCCTGCAGCCCCATGTAAAATGTCATCCCATTCAGAGCCCCCTCATGGGCTGTGTGGGCTTTGGACAAGTCTTTAAAGTAACTCCCCTGCAAAAGAAAAGAGAGATGAGACCTCAGGTGGTCTGTGGCCAGGCTAAAGGAGCCCTCATCACTTACAGCCCAAGCCGAAATAATGAATCTGAATTACTTTAAAAGTCTCAGCTGTTTCAATTAAAAAAATGTGAAACTCTTTGATGATGGTATTACCATCTCAGCAAAGTAAAAGGACAGCTCTGGACTCTCATGGTTTCGCTTTCCAGACAAACATATTTGCAAATTTCTTCACAACTTCTCCAAGTGCCCAAGAGCGTGGTGGGGCGGGGGCGATGCCCATGCAAACCTGAAATTCAGGCCTCTCTCTCACAGGAAGGGGCCAGAGGACCACACAGCAACTGGCGGCCCGGGCACAACCAGGAGACCCATTTACACTGCATACTCTCTGACTAGCTGAATTTCTTCTATGACATTCACTGGATCAAAAATATTTTTTCTGCCCTGGCCAGGTGGCTCGGCTGGTTGGGAGTGTCCGCGCATGCCCCAGACGGTTGCAGATTGGATTCCCAGTCAGGGCACACACCCAGGTCGCTGAGGTCAGCGGTGGGCTCTGCCTTATGGGGTCCCCCTCTATGATGTTCCTCTCTCTCTCCCTCCCCTTCTCTCTAAGTTCAGTAAGAACATATCCTCTGGTGAGGATTAAAAACACACACAAACCCAACATTTTTTTCTGAATAATAAAAAAATAAAATAGAGCAGTTTCTTACCGACGACTTACTGATAGAGGAATTGAAGCAAAGGGGTCCATTCAACTCACACCCTATATATATACCAGCTGATTCCCGCAGGAACCAGCCTCAGTGGCATGTGGCCCCGGCCACTTCCCACTTCAACAAGGAAGAAGACACCCGCCACGGGCAGCTTTTGGAAACTCCCTGCTGGTTCCCGGTGCTCCCGGCTAAGGATCAGGGATGTGAGCAGGAGTCCCCGGCTGTGTGGGAAGCCCTCGAGCACTACCGTGTCCAGTCCCAGGGAGTGAGCTTCCAGCGCTGTCTGCCCGCGGCCGGGGTGGTCCTCTTCTTGCAAGTAGGTCCACACCTGCCTTCCCCTCTCATTGCTGAGTCGCCAGCGGCTGAGGTCAGTGGCGGGCTCTGTCTTATAGGGTCCCCCTCGACGACGCAGACACCTGGAAACGATCACGAGTGGCCATCCTGCCTCCTCTTTAGCTCAGAGCCCGGAGGTCTCACCTCCAGCAACGCGCAGGCAGGAAACACTCTCAGCGCCACTCCGGCCTCTCGCTGCTGCCCCATTATCTGTCGTGGCAAGCGGAGGCGCCGGCCACCAGGTTCCCCAGCACCTCCACCCCACCCGGCTCTCCTCGGCCCCGACCCCATGCGGCCCTCGCCCACGCGGGACCTCCTCCGAGCCCCGACCGCGCTCTCCCGTCTGGTGGGACACCCAGCGCGAGGACTCACGTGCCCTCGGTCATGACTGCCGCCGAGATCTCTGCAACTTGCACACGGAGCAGGGACCCACCGCAAGTGAGTCTTCGCACTACGCGGGCGCACCACCCGCTATCACGCGTAGTGCAGTGGGAAGATGCCCGTACAGCCAATAAGAACGCCGCAGGGGTGGGCCCTCGGCCGTGCCCAGCCACTGCAGTGGTGGCGCGGGAGACGCCCCACGGGGCGGAGGCGGAACCTGAGTCAAGAGGGCGTGGCCTGGGACAAGGGGTGGGACCTGGAGTGGGACCTGGGGTGGGACCTGGGATGGGGATAAGGGCGGGGCGAGGCGGGTCCTGGGCCTGGTGGGCGGGGCATGGATGAACGGGGCGGGGCCGGGGCGGGAGGAGGCCAGCTGTGTGGGCAGGGACAGGGCGAGGGGGACTGGCGAGTGGGCCAGTGGGACCTGGGGGCGGGGCGGCGCGGACCGCCAGTCACGCCGCTTTCCGGTGGGGCGAAGCTCGGCCACCAGGGCTGAGGAGGAGGAGTGCTCGGTGGGGCGGAGTGGCCCCCCTGAGGTGATGAGGCAGGTCCCGCCCCCGAGGGTCCGGCCCCGCCGGAGTTCCGGGGGCGGATGGCTGGCGGTGGGGAGCGAGGCCCGGAGCCCAGGCCGGGCTGGAGGTGCGCGAGTGCGGGAGGGAGTTTGCTCAAGCAGCGAAGGTTTGGAGGAAGTTTTCAACTTAGATTGGGGGGCATGTTACGACAGATGCCATGAGACATTCGAGTGGATGCGTTGAGTAGGCTGGTGTTCTGGTAAGAGGACAAGGCTAGTGAACTGGGGATGCATTTGTTTTCAGGTGATATTTGGAAACGTAAGATTAGATGAGATCAACCTTAATAATGCCCGACCCTTGCCGGAACCGGTTTGGCTCAGTGGATAGAGGGTCGGCCTGCGGACTGAAGGGTCCCGGGTTCGATTCCGGTCAGGGGCATGTGCCTGGGTTGCGGGCACATCCCCAGTGGGAGATGTGCAGGAGGCAGCTGATCGATGTTTCTCTCTCATCTCATCGATGTTTCTAACTCTCTATCTCTCTCCCTTCCTCTCTGTAAAAAAACAATAAAATATATTTTTAAAAAAATAATAATGCCCGACCCTTTAACCCCTAGAGTGCCGGGGAGCATGATCACGCTCCTCCTGCCTTGTCACTATTAGATGCTAGTTCACTCTTTATTGACAGATGGCACCTAAGTGCAGATTACTTATGATGCCGAATGTTTGTCGTTCTAAAATTGACCACTGGCATTTATCTACCTAATTTTCATAATTTTTTTTCCTAAACTGCTGTAAAATCAGCAAAAATGCCTTGGCAATTTTAGCATAGATCCTAGGATATTGGTTGGCACTCAAAGGGTTAATACAGTTCCTCATGTTGTGGTGACCCGCAATTTCATTGTTACAAATTGAACATAATTAAAGCATAGTGATTAATCACAAAAACAATATGTAATTATATATGTGTTTTCCAATGTTCTTAGGCGACCCCTGTGAAAGGGTCGTTTGACCCCCAAAGGGGTGACGACCCACAGGTTGAGAACCACTGAACTAGGGAGTATCCCAGAGAGAACATTTTCCAGCATGAGCCAGGGGCACCAACAGCTTCCCCTCTAGTGGAAAGAGGATCTAGAAAGAGGAGAACAGGGATGTGGAGTCCGGAAGCCAAGTGAAGACCTGGTGATCTGTGCGGAAGTTCTGGAGGGATTGTAGAGTGAGGTCTGAGAATTGATTAGATGTGCCTCCGTGACTATTAAAAGTGTGTGTGTGTGTGTGTGTGTGTGTGTGTGTGTGGCGGGGGTCCAGGTAAACAAGTCATGCCAAGCACAGTCATTGACTTCTACTTCCCACCTAAACCCTACATACATCCTATCTAATAATAGACAAACATGGTAATTAACCATACCTCCGCTACGCTTCCCATTGGCTAATCAGGGCGATATGCAAATTAACTGCCAACCAAGATGGTGGCTGGCAGCCAGGCAGCTGAAGCAAACATGAGGCTTGGTTGCCCCGGCGATGGAGGAAGCCAAGGTTCCCCGCCTGCTGCTGCCAGCTCTGAGCTGCACTCTAAGCAACTATGTTGCAATTATAGAAACTAAACAAACCCAAGATACCTGCTTTCAGCCAGCTGGGCCTCAGAGCTGGAGCTGCAACAGTGTTTCAATTATAGAAAACAAACAAACCCAGATACCTGCTTTCAGCAGCCGAGGCCTCAAGCTGGAGCCAGCTCTCAGCTCCAGTGACAGCCATAGAAAGTAAATAAATCCCAGAATAAAAAAAAAAAAAAGAAAAAAAGGAGAGGTTGGGAGCTTCAGTTGCCCACCAGCCTGAAAACGACCCTCAGCCCCTCACCCAGACTGGCCAGGCACCCAAGTGGGGACCCCCACCCTGAAGGGGGTGCGACCAGCTGCAAACAGCCATCAGCCCCTCACCCAGGCTGGCCAGGCACCCCAGCGGGACCGCCACCCTGATCCGGGGCACCCTTCAGGGCAAACCAGCCAGCCCCCACCCATGCACCAGGCCTCTATCCCATCTAGTAAAAAGATAATATACAAACTGACCCTAACAGCAGAAAGACTGGGAATGACTGGTCACTATGACACACACTGACCACCAGGGGGCAGACGCTCAAGGTAGGAGCTGCCCTCTGGTGGTCAGTGAGCTCTCACATGGGAGGAGCTCTGCTCAGCCACAAGCCAGGCTGATGGCTGCCAGTACAGCAGTGGTGGTGGGAGCCTCTCCTGCCTCAGTAGCGCTAAGGATGTCCAACTGCAGTTTAGGCCTGCTCCCCACTGGCAAGTGGACATCCCCTGAGAGCTGCCAGGCTGCCAGAGGGATGTCTGATTGCCATCTTAGGCCCAATCCCGTGGGGAGCAGGCCTAAGCCAGCAAGTGGTCATCCCCTGAGGGGTCCCAGACTGCAAGAGGGCACAGGCCGGGCTGAGGGACATCCCCCTCCCCAGTGCACAAATTTTTGTGCACCGGGCCTCTAGTCCTATATAATAAAAGACTAATATGCTAAGTGTCTGGTTGTCCGGTCGTCTGGTCAACCAATCAAAGTGTAATATGCTAAGGCTGCTCAACCGCTCACTATGACGTGCACTGACCACCAGGGGCAGACAGTTGACCAGTCGCTATGATGTGCACTGACCACCAGGGGGCAGACGCTCCGACCAGTAGGTTAGCTTGCTGCTGGGGTCCTGCCCATCAGGACTGGGCAATATGGGCCAGACACACCCTGGAGCCCTCCCACACATGGTCCCTCCCTGGCTGGCCAAATTCCCACATCTCTCCCTGGCCCTGATCGTGCACCAGTGGGGTCCCTTGGCCTGGCCTGCGCCCCCTTGCAACCCAGGACCCCTCGGGGGATGTCAGAGAGCCAGTTTTGGCCTGATCCCACAGGCCTGGCCAAGGGACCCCACTGGTACACGAATTCATGCACCTGGCCTCTAGTAAAGTAATAAGAGATAAAAATTCAGAGTGAAAGAATGGGAGAGGAGGTAGCAGTAAATAAGAGAGGTCAACAAAATTATAAAGCCAAGGAATGTGCACTGTAGTGATAACTGACAGCAAGCCAGAGAAGGCTGAAACCTATGTGTCAGGGGAAGCCATCAAGAAAAGAGACCAGAATCCCAGCAACAACACAGAGCAGGGTAACAATTAAAGAACCAGCTCTGGACAGTTGACCTCCCCAAACCAGTTTTAAGTGAAATACGGTCTGCTTTAAAATCAGGACTGTGGTTTACAACACAGAGGAACAGTGTATCGCAGGGAAATTCAACACTCTGCTGAATACCTGGCGGGACTAGGGCGAGCCAGACTGACGAGTAGAAGAACTGAAGGACCTTCACTACTGCAAATTTTTTCTTTTTTCACCTTTTAACTAAGAAACCAATTTTTTTCTTCTTCTTTTTCCATCACCTGATTTTACCCTTTTAATTACATTTTTATTTTTAACCAGTATTATTACTGCTACCATTTTACCATTTTTTAAAGTGCCATTTTATTTTCTCTTTATTTTATTTGGGGATTAGTGTTCTCCATTCTATTTTCATCATTCCTTTAACATCAATTTTCCCTACCTCAATTTTACCTCTATGCTAAAACCCTCTCCCTCACTTTTCCCCTTTTGTTGTCCTGTTTCTCTTACCCTATTCCTGCTTTAGATTTTCCCTATTCCCTCTGTTTACCTCCTGTCAAAATTTCACCTTACTTATATATCCTATTTCCAATCCACTGCTCTAAATCCTTATACACATATCCCTTATCTTTCTTCACTATCCAAAATTTTTTTTTCTCTTCTTTTATCTTTCTATTGTTTTGTCCCTGTTTGCTTGATTTTTGAGTATATTGTTTTTTGGGGTTTGTTTTTTTTTTTTTTGTCTTTTTGTGTGTGTGTGTGTGTGTGTGTGTGTGTGTGTGTTTTAGGACTGGTTGTGAGGTTGTTTTGCTTTTTCTTTTTATTTTTTTCTGCTGGTTTTTCCCCTCCCTCCACCCCCCCTCCCCCCGGTTATTTTTGTGCTTCTGTTTACCCTTGCCTCTCTTGATATTATTAGTTGTTCCTAGTTTGCATTCATCTCCAGGGAGCTGTTGCTGGAATTTGTTGGAATTAGTGGAGGTTCTATCGGAGTTTTCTCCTCATATAGTCTCTTCCCCTCTTCTACTTCATTCTCTCTTTTCGCTTTTTTCTCTCTCTCTTTTTCCCCCCCTCCTTTTTCCAATTTCATTTTTGCACTCCTTTTTTTTCCCTACTTTTCTTTTCTTTTTTCTCTTTTATCTTTTTCTCTTCTTTATTCCTTATCCCCTAATTCTCTTAATTCGGGTGGTCACCTTCATTTGGGGTTATTAATATCGTGAATATATTTGTGTTCAGTGCCTGGTACGTGGTGCCTTGTTGTGTTGTATTTTGTGCCATTAAACCAAAGCAGCAGATCCAAGCAACAGCAGCCTCCTGAGCACCACACCCTCTGTCTGAGGAACAACAGCTGTATGT